TGGATTGGTGATTGCCAACCTAATAGTTGCCGGCATCAATAGGCGGATACGCTGCATTGTCAGTGAGGCCAACATGCTGCAGACACCACTGCAGATGGCCCTGCAGAAGCCCTACTATCGCATGCAACGCTTCTGCGAACTGGCCGACAGTCTGGATGAGCTGGCCCTTAAGTATGTCGTGACTGCGTCCTGCTCCAAGGGATATCTACGCTTCACCGACTGGTCCATGATCGTATCGATGGTCATGAATCTGATTGGCATCACTGTGGGATTTTACAATCAATACCTGGCCATTGCCGACTACTACATTAATGAGGAGGAGCCCTATGATCTGTATCAAGCCATTGTCCATTTGGTGTTCCTTTCGGTGCCGTTCATGGAACTCATTCTGGTCTCTCGTATCAGCAGTCAAATGCTGCAGGAGGTAAGTGTAAGTGCACCAGGAAGCATATTTAATAGCGATTTAACTATTTATAGACCAAGACAACTGGAGATATCCTGCAGCGCATCGATCTGCAGCATGCAGATGTTCGTTTCAAGCAAGTTGTCGACTCCTTTTGGCTGCAGGTGTCCACATTGGACTATAAACTTATGCCACTGGGACTCCTGGAGCTGAACAGCTCGTTGGTCAACACCGTGTTCTCGGCAGTCACTGGATTTTTGTTAATTCTGATACAGAGTGACCTCACGTTAAGGTTTTCACTCAAGTAAACAGAATAAATACATGAATTTTCAAACAGTATTATTTTCCGCGGTTTAACCTTTGCAGCGGGGTGCCAAGTGGGTTAAGTTCGTTTACTCATCTCTCATTTATTGTATATCGGTATATAATAAAGTTTAATCGAGTTGTTCGTACATTTTGGTATTTATCTTAGACTTATCGATAAATCCACTTGTGACGTGTAAACGCAGGCCGAAAAAGTAATTTTATTTGTTTTCTATTAACGATTTTTAAGTAAGTTTTATCAATAATGGGTTCGTTCCGCCGCGAGAAAGACGAAGAGGAAGACGGTAAGTAGCTACTTAACTCACAGAACTTACTAATCGCACAGAACGAAGAGCCCCAGAACGACCGATAAGAGGGGAAACTCCAGGCTCTGTGAGAAAGGTGCTCCGCTGGCAACCAGCAGACACACACCCGCTTACACACACACACACACCCACTGAAACTAACACAAAAACCAGAACAAATATAACAAAAACATAAAGAGACAACCAACAACAACAAACACTGCTAAAGTTATTAAACAAATTTCGTATGTACTGACGGAAAACATGAAATATTTTTCCTCCCTAAAAAAACAACGCCCAGGCCCGACAAATGCATACCAGAACCTGGAGAAGACGTCGGTGCTGCAGGAGACGCGCACGTTCAACGAGACGCCGGTGAATGCCCGCAAATGCATTCACATTCTCACCAAAATCCTCTACCTGATCAATCAGGGCGAGGTGCTGGTGCCACGCGAGGCCACCGACTGCTTCTTCGCGATGACCAAGCTGTTCCAGTCCAAGGATGTGGTGCTGCGTCGCATGGTCTATTTGGGCATCAAGGAGCTGAGCTCAGTGGCCGAGGATGTGATTATTGTCACCAGTTCGCTGACCAAGGATATGACCGGCAAAGAGGATCTGTATCGTGCTGCTGCCATTCGTGCCCTCTGCAGCATTACCGATCACACCATGCTGCAGGCCGTCGAGCGTTACATGAAGCAGTGCATTGTGGACAAGAACGCCGCCGTCTCCTGTGCCGCTCTAGTCAGTTCGTTGCGACTGGCCACCACTGCCGGCGATGTGGTCAAGCGTTGGGCCAACGAGGCCCAGGAGGCAATGAACAGCGACAATATTATGGTGCAATACCATGCGCTGGGTCTGCTCTATCACATTCGCAAATCGGATCGTCTGGCGGTCTCGAAGCTGGTCAACAAGCTGACGCGCAGCTCCCTGAAGAGTCCCTATGCTGTCTGCATGCTGGTAAGTGACGGAATGGGAGCTTTGACGCTGAATGTTTGATTAATGAATATTTCTGTCATCCCCTTAGATACGTATTGCCTGCAAACTGATTGAGGAAGAGGACATACCCTCGGAGGAGCTGTCCGACTCGCCGCTGTTCACCTTCATTGAGACGTGTCTGCGCCACAAGAGCGAAATGGTCATCTATGAGGCCGCCCATGCGATTGTCAATCTGAAGAACACCAATCATCGCATGCTGTCGCCGGCCTTCTCCATTCTCCAGCTGTTCTGCAGCTCGCCCAAGGCCACATTGCGTTTTGCTGCTGTTCGCACGCTCAACAAGGTGGCCATGACCCATCCGGCAGCTGTGACCACATGCAATCTGGATCTGGAGGGTCTCATCACGGACTCCAATCGTTCGGTGGCCACTTTGGCTATTACCACGCTGCTAAAAACCGGCGCCGAGTCCTCGGTGGAGCGTTTGATGAAGCAGATTTCCACATATGTGGCCGAGATCTCCGATGAGTTCAAGGTGGTGGTGGTTCAAGCCATCTGCGCTCTCTGCACCAAGTACCCAAGGAAGCACACGGTCTTGATGAACTTCCTCAGCGGCATGCTGCGCGGGGAGGGCGGCCTTGAGTACAAGACATCCATTGTGGACACCATCATTACGATCATTGAGGAGAATGCAGATGCCAAGGAGTCTGGTCTGTCGCATCTCTGCGAGTTCATTGAGGACTGTGAGCATGTCTCGCTGGCGGTGCGCATTCTCCATTTGCTGGGCAAGGAGGGACCATTTGCGGCCACACCCTCCAAGTATATTCGCTTCATCTACAATCGTGTTATCCTGGAGAGTCCCATTGTGCGTGCGGCTGCTGTGACCGCTCTGTCGCAGTTTGGCGCCTCCTGCCCGGCTCTGCTGACGAACATTCTGGTTCTGCTCGGTCGCTGCCAGATGGATCCGGACGATGAGGTGCGCGATCGTGCCACCTACTACCTGAGCATCCTCAACTCGGAGCGTGCCGATCTGTACAAAAACTACATCATCGAGCGCGAGAACTGCTCGCTGGCGCTGCTGGAGAAGGCTCTGGTGGATCATTTGAACGGCGATCTGGAGAAGCGCTTTGACATTTCCGTTGTGCCCAAGGCAGCGGCTATTGTCCGTACAGAGATTAGCAATGATGTGATGCTGGTCACCAGCGCACCGCGGCCGCCGAAGATCACACGCGAGGAGGAGAGCGCATCGCGATTGGCCCAGCTGCCGGGCATTCAGGTGCTCGGCCCCGTGCACCGCAGCACGGCACCCATACAGCTGACCGAAAGCGAAACGGAATACACGGTGCAGTGCATCAAGCACATCTTTGGGCAGCATGTGGTCTTCCAGTTCGATTGCCTCAACACATTGTCCGATCAGTTCCTGGAGAATGTGCGCGTAGAGTTGACCCTGCCGGAGGGATTCACCACCAGAGCCGTCATACCTTGCCCCAAGCTACCGTACAATGAACTGCAGACGACATATGTCATTGTGGAATTCCCACCAGATGCAGGCAGTTCCATAGGTGAGTCGCTGCACTCTCAGGATCTAATCAGACTCTGCTCAATCGCTGTGTTCTCTTTTTCAGCCACCTTTGGAGCCACTTTGCGATTTGTGGTCAAGGATTGCGATCCGAATACAGGAGAGCCCGACTCGGAAGAGGGCTATGATGATGAGTACATGCTGGAGGATCTGGAGATCACAGTCGCTGATCAGATACAGAAATCGAAAAAGAACAACTTCCAGGTGTCCTGGGACGCTGCCGATAGTGAAGGTAGGAAAGGAAACTCTGAAGAAGTTCCACAAATGTTTATATATTTTCTCTCTTTTTGCAATCTTTCGCAGAGTGGCTGCAAGCCGAGGATACGTTTGTGCTGTCGGCCGTCACTACGCTACAGGATGCTGTCAATACTATTGTGAAAATCCTTGGCCTTGGCTCTGCAAATCTATCCGAAAAAGTGCCGGAAGGCACTCACCTGCACACGCTGCTCTGTTCGGGTAGGAATCTCGAACTCAAGTCATCAGAACTTAATCTTTAATAGTTATATTATTTATTGTGATTTCGCAGGCATCTTTAGAGGCGGCGTTGAAGTTCTGGTGCGGGCAAAGCTGGCACTCTCCGAGGGCGTAACGCTGAATCTGACGGTGCGCAGCACAGATCAGGATGTAGCAGAGCTAATAACAGCAGCCATCGGATAAGACAGCGAGCCATGCAGGAATCTTGTTCGGTTTCTGCGTGCCGTCAATATAATATAAACGAAAACTATAAAATGAAAACTCTTAAAAATTAATCAAAAAATACATCATTTTATACGTTTAAGTGATTGTCTCTGTAATATTTGTGCCCCTATCTAACCCCCCATTGGCCCTCAACTGCCAGCAAGCACTTCAAAGCGATGGCTTGGCCGACAGCGATACACACACATTCTTTGAATTGAATTTGAATTGTTACAGCGTAGGGGCTTTGTGTAGCATCTTGCTCCAGCATCATTTAAATTTTAAAATATATTGTATGTATGTATATGTTAATGCCTGCCCACACCCCCAATTAGCCTGGCCTGTGCATTTAGCCTAAGTATAAAACTAAAATTGAAAATATATACATGTACTATATGCAATGCAATCAGAGTGAAGTTTGAGTGTTTTATTGTGTGAAGAACGTGCTTGACCATCGCAAGTGGACTCGTGGTGCACAAGTGGATGTTGGAAAATAGAATTCCCGTGCATAAAACTACATACATGTCGTGTGCGTAACGGCATACATTGATGGTAGACTGATGAGAGTTATGTTTTATTTTAGTTATAAATGGAGTTTATTCACTGCAACAGTTTTCCATAAGTGTTTTCCAAAAAAGTGAGTAACATAAAAATCCACCGATCCACCAAAGACCCACAAAAATAAGTTCGATATCTGAAAAACTCATTCTTACTTTATTTTGTGTGTTTATATTGTAGTTTTTATTTAATTATAAATAACTTAAAGTTGCAATATCCTAGAGTACTTCTTTTGTTTTTCCTATTTTTACAAATTTGTTTTTGCCTTTTTTGAATCGTCGTCGTCGTCGTCTGTTCTGTTCATTTTCTGCTGCGTTTTCAACATTCGTCTTAAATTACAAAATTTTGTTTATATCTCGTTCGCAATGAATTTATAATTTCTTGTGCTTTTTCGTTTGTTTTTTGTTCGCAATCGTTTAACGCGATTCTCTTTTTTGCTATATTTAAGTGTGTAAAATGTAACTCCAATCAATCAATCAATTATTTAAAATGTAAGATTCACACGCAGGTATAAAAAAAAATGAAATTTATATTAACAAATAACACACACACTCTCGCACACTCATGCAACACGCAGCACGCACATTTTGCAGCACAATTTCACATTGATAATTTCATTTCGTTACAATTTGTTTATACTATTTTTTGTTCTCTTTTGTTTATTTAAATATGTCGTTAGATATATGCATGTAATTATATAATTATGTCAGTGTGTGTGTTTTTGTGTATATTTGTCTATGTGTGTGTGTGTGTGTGTTGCAATTTTTCCCCCATTTAACCCACGGACAAGAGACGCTCTGACGGCTGTGAGTTTGTTTCTTGTTCCTTAATTTAGCGCTTAGCTTATCCAATTTTGTTGTATAATACAAACTAGATTGTTGTTTCTTAGCTAGGGGGCTTACTTGGGTTCCCTGCTGGGCACACACAACACACTGCTTCTGGCTGCCGACTGCTGGCTGCGTCTGGTCTGGGTTTGATTGCTCTTTTTTGCTTCTTGCCTGAATATTACATATTACATTTATATTACAATTAAACATATTTCGTTTACAGATTTCGTTAAGGTTTTGCTTGCGCATAAAGAGGATTTTGGATTGGATTTTGAGCCGAGTGGGTGAGTAGGGTGGTGCGAGCCCGGAGCTGAAAGTCACAACACTGCTCCGGCACTTTTTAGTTCTCGGGCCTCCTGCCATCGTCTGTCCCGTGGGTAATCTTGGGGGGCGGTTGTGTTGGTACATGACTTGACTATTGAGCAGCTTATAATTGTACATTTAAGATATTAGAGTATGCTTGGATATTTTATACAGTGAGTGAGTGCTAGCTGGTGTTGTTGTTGTTGTTGGTGGTGGTGGTTGATTGATAGGTTCCTTGTGCTGCCTGCCTTCCTCCATTCCTACGCTATTCAACATTTGAACTTGACCATGGGAATATGCTTGGAAGACACACACTTGTCGCAGCACCACTCTGCAAACACCTCCTTGTTGAGCATTTGGAAGGCCGCCTCTGTCAGGCCCACGCAGGTTCTGCAAATTTCCGATCAAACGGAAAGAGAGAGAGAAAGAACACAAAAGATTTATGTTTAGATACGGGGAAACCCTTTAATAATTTGCTTATTGCTAGTTGCGCACTTTGCTGGTGGATGGTAATTTACCTGTGAAAGAAGAAGTTGCATCCGGATTCACAGAACACGGCCTCATCGTTGTCGTTCACCTCCTTGTGGCACATGCCACACGGGTATATGGGCGGCGCATTGGGATTCTGGGGATTAAAGACCATCGGCTGGCCAGGCGGATACATTTTGCCACCGCTCATTGTCATCGGCTTGGGTCCCACGCCCATCGGTCCACCCATTGGACCGCCACCTCCCATGGGTCCCATGTTGCCCATTGGTCCGCCAGGACCCATAGGTCCTCCGCCGCCAAACATATTGGGGCCGGGTCCACCCATGGGACTGTGATGATGGTGGGGATGTCCATGTGCATGGTGGGGCGACATGTGCGGGTGCGGGGGTCCATTCATGCCACCTGGTCCTGGGCCTGGTCCTGGCACACCGCCCATATGTCCGTGTCCCATATGCGGACCCGCATTCCCATGCGGTCCACCCATCATATGGGGATTGGGGCCGCCGCCACCCATGTGTGGTGGCATGCCACCGGGACCGCCATGCATGCCGCCGCTCGGCCCGCCGGGACCCATCATATGAGGTGGCGGTGGGCCACCCGGATGATGGTGCGGATGATTCATGAGCTGCGGGTGCGGTGGACCAAGATGCGATGGTTGCTGAGGCGGCAACATCTGATTCATGCCCATGCCAGGGCCGTGTCCATGGCCATGACCGTGACCGTGCCCGTGGCCGTGACCATGTCCATGGCCGTGTCCGGGTCCATGTCCCGGAGGACCGCCCATGTGCTGCTGCTGCTGCTGTTGTTGTTGTTGCTGCTGTTGTTGTTGTTGTTGTTGCTGTTGTTGTTGCTGTTGCTGTTGTTGTTGTTGTTGCTGCTGTTGCATAGGAACATTCGGGTTCATTTGCTGGCCCATCATGGGTCCATTGTTATTGTTATTGTTATTTTGTGGACCATTGGGACCGGCGGGCGATTGAAGCGGACTGGGGCCAGAGTTGGGCATGCCCGGACTTGGGCCGGCACTGTTCAGCGAGTGATGCGGTGACATGGCGGGCGGCGCTGGCGAGGATGTAGGCACTGACGTGGACATCGAGCTGGCTGTCGTCGCTGTCGATGTTTGCGTGGGCGTTGACCCCGTTGCCGATGCCGAGGAGGCGGCCGACATTGTGGGGCCATTCGATTGCAGTGACGTGGGCACTCCGAGACGGCCACCGGCCGGCGATAGATGAGGATTTTGATTGTTGTTGCTTGAATTGTTGTTGTTGCCGAGCATGTTGTTGCCCGGACCACCAACTCCTCCTCCTCCGACGCCACCGCTGTTGTTGTTGTTTGCAGGAGACATGCCACCAGGTCCGACGAGGCCACCGGGCCCAGGACCAGGCCCTGGACCGGGTCCACCTGGCATATGACTGCCATGATTCGTCGGTCCATTGCCCAGCGGACTGTGCAACGGGGGCGGACCCATCTGTCCATTGTTCATGGGTGGCTGCGGAGGTTGTTGCTGTTGTTGTTGCTGCTGCTGTTGTTGCTGCTGTTGTTGTTGTTGTTGCTGCTGTTGTTGCTGCTGCTGTGGCCCTGGACATCCGGATGGCGGCCCAAGTGGGCTACCAATCGGATTGCCCATCGGCGAGCCCATGGGCAGCGAATTCATAGGCGAGTTCTGGCCAGGACCACCAGCTCCTCCCATGGGAGAGCCCTGCAAGGCCCGCTGGTTGGGTCCATTCGGACCTCCGCCCATTGGCGAGAGTCCTCCCATGCCCATGTGATGTGGTGATATACTTGGTCCTCCCATATTGCCCATTGGACTCATTCCGCCCATACCGGCCATGGCTCCCATCGGACTGCCCATGGGCACGGGGCCACCGGGACCGGGTCTGCCGTGGTTCATATGCGGCGGCAGTCCCACTCCAGGTCCGGGTCCCATCGCATGCGGATGCATTGGACTCATGCCGCGCATCGGCGGCGGGCCGCCCATGTGGTGGGGTGGCCCATGGGGGTGTCCCATCGGTCCGCCCGGGTGGTGCGGATGCATATGGGGGTGCATATGAGGCGGACCACCGCCCATGCCCATGCGATCCTCCCAGTGCGGATGCGGATGGCCGCCGCCAAAGTGTCCCGGTCCGCCAGGGCCTCCGCCCATTTGGTTCATGGCCGCCATCGCTGCGGCGGCCGAGCTTGACATGGCAGACACCTGGGGACTGTCGTCAAAGGGATTCGAGGCAATAATGGTGTCTCCGAAGCCGCCCATCGGCGGTGGCGGCAACAGATCCTGGGGCGTTGGTGGTGCTGATTGTTGCTGCATTGAATTGGCAGCGGCGGCCGCAGCTGCTGCCGCCGCCGCCGCTGCCGCAGCTGCCGAGTTGGCGGCATTCGAAGTTTTCCGCCGCTTCTTCGGATTGCTCGGCGCCGAGATGATATCCGACGGAGGCGGCGGTTTGAAGTCAGGCGGACAGAGACCGCCTGCTGGACCCGGCAAACGATATGGCGCCATACCGAGATTATGGGTCATATTAGAGGTATTTTTCTTCCGAATGGTGGCAGCTTTTTCTTTAACTACGGGGGAAAGAAATTCTATCTAAGCGGCGTCGTCAATCCCTCGCTGGAGATCTCGACGCGGTGTGAAGAAAAGAAGAAATGCGGCTTCGGGGTGGACTGCCGATGCGGCGTTTGATGCTGATCTTGATGTTGCCGTAGCTGTTGCCTGTTCGGTGATGATATGGATGGATGGCGGAACACAATCGCTTCACGGTGATCGGTTATCTTCTGCTCTCACTCGACTGTTATCCACTTGGTGCGGCCTGATACCGCCAAAAGGATATCGACCTAAGCAAAGAGGGCAGAGCGTAAGTAATTTTGTCAGCTAATTGCTCAATTATTTTTCACATATTTACCGAATCATCTTAGCACAAGGACAACTAAATTTTCAAAAAACTATTCCCAAGAACGAACACGGGCACGGAACAACGGAACAACGGCAACCTTTGCAATTTGGAGCTGGCAACTCTACGCGCGCATGTCGTCAGCGTTGGCAGCGTCGTGTTGTCTCGAAAGCGCCAAGCCAAGCAGCAGCAGCAGCACCTGCAGCGGCACGGCTGCAGCACACACAAAAACAAATATGCACTGGATCTTTTTCGTCGTTTATTGCAATTACGTGCTGGCGTTATATTTATTTTACTTCCGATTTAATTGGTGTGGAAGCTGTAAGTGGACGCACGCTACGCTGCAATGCGCGTTGTCTTTTTGTTTTATTTTCTCACACACAGCGCCACTAGCTCTGCTTCTTCTTCTTTCCAGCGATTTTATGTTCTCTTTGCACCACCGCCGCGGCAGCAATTTGCTGCGTTTGGCCTTTAATTGCAGCACTATGGGGTATAGTGCCCAATATTTAGCACACGATAATGGTTAGCGACAATTATTATTAAATAATACACACTTTTTGTACTTTGCACGCGATCGGGTTTCGTGGTTTTCTTTTTTGTTGATGGCCGCTGCTGCGCTACTGCAGCATCAACTTTTAATGAGTAGCGGATTTGAGTTATGCCGCGGCCCAAGGTAGCACACACTATCGGGGTTCAGTGGGGTCGCACTGTGTCGGATTTTATCATTAAAGCATCCAACTTTGTTTATTTTGTTTAATTTTTGCGTTAGAAGAGCGAAAAAATATAAATAATTTTCATCGCCTGCCAGCCAGTGTGACCGTATCTCGATAAAACTCAAAATGCCGGAATTCCACAAGACGAAAAGAGGGACCAGAGCAGGCAAATGCATGTTTGCCAGTCGATAAAAAACAATTAATTACAGAAAACTGAAACTAACAATGTAATTTTTAATTATTTTATTGTTAATTTGTTTTTTCAGGTAAATTATAGTAATTGAAAATATTATCAAATAACTTTGCCGCGGTTCGAGTACACCGATAACTAGTTTTAACTATCAATGGCATCCCATCTCTAGCTAAGGTGACGCTTGTTTATTGGCGCAGTTTGTTTAAAATTTGTCAAATTCTTAATTAAATCGAAGCAAATTACTGCAGAATGTGGAGCAACTTTGAGGCGTCTCCTTGCGAGGATGAGACCATATCGAATGTGTTCTCCTCGCGTGGCATGTTCCGGATAAGCAGCGAGGAGGAGGTAAAGTCCGCCATTCAAACGAATCAACAGTTAGCTATGCTACAATTTCCCTTTGTTAGGTCGAGAAATACCCAGAGGTTTTGGCATCAGTGCAATGCGGCAAAATGGTGATATCCATAGACAAGAGCCTGCTGCTGCTGGAAGATGAACTGGTGGCCAAGTGCAGCTTCCTCAGTTTCAGTGCGCAGATCGAAGCCATTGCCATCTCCAGCAGCGGCAATCTGATTGTGTGCGGCCTCAGCGATGGCGAAGTTCACGGTGTGTTCATCAAGGGGCTGCTACTGTTTAGCGTTTGCGTAAAACTGGACGATGTAGGCCTCACGGGTGGCACCTTCAGGAGCATCCACCAGTGCGATCAACGATTCTACTTTACCTGCAAGAATGGCAGCATCTATGGGTGAGTAAGAGAGAACATAGAGAAGTTCCTTTTTCCTGCAATGACAAACGATTCATTCCTTTAGCTTGAGTGAAATTGATGAAGCCACTTTGGAGTCTGTGACGAATATAACCCTGAATGACAACGAGACCATTGCCTGCGAGAAGGCCATCCTGGACGATGTCACCATCAAGCGTATTACCAAGGGTCGCCCAATGGGCAATGTCGACTGCGCTGTGCTCTTCAAGCAGCTGTCGGCGGTGGGTCACATTTCCGCACAGAATAATCAGGAAGTGCGTGGCGCGGATCATGGCTTGATCATCTCCGGGGATCAGGGCACGGCCAACTTCAAGACGTCGGCCAATGATGTCACTCGCATCAGCCTGCCCGCCCATTATGGCAGCCTGAAGCAGATCTACAATCTGGATGACTGTGTGTAAGTTTTGGAACAAAAGTTATCCGTGGGCTTGGTCTAATTCGGATTCCCCATTTGCCTTAGGATTGCCCTGACCAACTCTGGTCACCTGCTGGACATCTGTCCGTACACACGCACAGTGAATTTGTGCCAATCGTCACAGGGTCGCACCTTGTTGATCGAGGATCTGCTAGTCATGGAGTGCAGCGAGGAGAGCATTGAGCTGCTGATACTAACAAAGCCAACGGACGAGGGGCGCTTAATGAAGATTGTGGAGTATCCATGTACGTTTTTCTTACCATTTCAAGCTCTTCTTTGCTTAATCTTCCATAAATCCCACAGCTCTGAGATGCAAAAATGAAGTGGAAGTGCCAGAGCATGCCTGGCTGGTGCGCCAGCCAAAGTGTGCCGTCAATTTGTACTATTTGGCAGCCAAGGAGGCGAACCAAAGCAGTCTGCCCTCAGTGGTGGAAATGATGCTGGTCTCGGAAACGGATCCCAGTGATCGATTTAAGAAACTCGTGGCCAAGGGCCGCCTGGAGGAGGCCGAGGAATTCGGCAAACAATTCGAGCTGTGCCTGCAGCCGATCTTTGAGGCCAAAGCCAAGCGTATACTGGTGGAGCTCTGCAACTCAGATTCCCAATTGAAGGACCCCGAAGTGGATGCCAAATTTCAGATCCTGCTGCATTTGCTCTCGCAGATTGAGAGCAAAGCGTTTATTAAGAACAATCGCATGATCAACCTCAGTTCGCGACACATTCTAGAGCGCTATCTGCGCGAGATTCAAAAACGTTTGAGCTTCGAGGTGAGTCTTGGTTAGCTTTGCTTATGGGTTTGTCTACTAAATGTCTTTTTTTGCTTGCAGGAGGATGAAGAGGATATGCTGGAGATTGACGAGCAGCTGCATCGTCTCAAGACTCTTGCCATTACCGATCCGTACGAGTGCAACAGCGACTGGCAAAAGTTCATTTACGATAACAATTTGGTGCGCGTGGTCAAGTCGCTGTTCAACACCGATATGCCCACGGCCTGCCTCATCTGGCGCCGCCATTCGAGCAGTATTCTGCCGCACCTCAACGAGGATGAGTTGCGCACACTGCTCGGGTTCATACCGAGCAACACGAAGCCGTTTAATGTGGTGCAATGGCTGCGTCAGTTCATACCAATGGTCAGCAATACGCATCCCAGCATAATGCCATTCATAACCGACTGGAGCATTGAGATGACGCGCAAGCTGCAGTACAACACGCATTGGCCGAACATTGGCCTGGAGTTTTCCACCAAAATCCTGGAGATTTTTGAGGAAATTCAATTTACATATTCGTGAGTTCCATTGCAATGCAATCCTCAATCAAAGATACGAATTTTTTCCCCCTTTTAGTGACGTGCGACGGCAGCAGGAGCGGAATGTGGGTAAGCTGCGGGACCTGGTCAACGCGCTTCAGGACTTGTTTGTGCTGAAAACCAACTACAACATGGGCTTCACATTGGACAACTACATGCAGGACTCGATAGATGCGACAGCCTTGAGCATACTGCAGCATGTGCAGCTGGATAAGCTGCAGCGACTGGTGAAGGACTTTATGTACCCCATATTCCAGGAGAAGGGACGCCAGCCACTGGCCGTGATCAAGCAGTACATTGCCCAGCTGGTGGCCAGCCGTCAGTCGTCCAGCAAATGGCTGGAGCGTGCCATGGCCTGCATTGAGCTGCTGCACAACGAGGATAGTCGCTTGGAGTGCGCACTGTCGGTGCTGCAGAATGCGCCAGTGCCTTGGCCTGAGACTTTGGGGCCGTTGATCAAGCTGCGCAACTCAACGCATCCGCTGGCCATGAAGATCAATGCCGAATACGAGATTCAGGTGATCAAGATCATGAAAGTCAAGTATGGCTGGCCGGCAGACAGCTCGGCTGACATCAACCTGGAGCTGTTCATGATGCGCATCGTAAAGCTGAATCTTCCCGACATGCTGGACGATATACGCACACTGACCAAGGCGGCGCCAGAGATCTCCACGGGTGCTAATTTCAATTGCTGCTACCAGATGGCCAGACGCGGTCAAATCGAATTGGCCTACGAGTTCTTCAAGTCTCTGGGCAGCGAAACGAACGACAAGCATCGCCGGGATGTTGTGGAGATCTTTGCCAATCTGCTGGAGAACAGCTCCACGGCGTCGTTTGTCAACGAAACCAAAGTGCAGGAGCATCTGAATGTGCTGGAACTCTTTAAGCTGTTCCTGCCACACGTTGAATCTGTGTACGAACGTCGCTATCTAATCATCAAGCATCGCTTCCATTTACGCGAGAAGTTCAGCATTGAACTGAGCTGCAGCGGCGAACTTATCCCATTGTGTCGCCGCCACGAGCTGATGGACGAGGCCATTGAGAGGATCATTGAACGGGCACAGGCCACGCTAAATGTGTCCGCTTTTATAGCCAGCGAAATGGGTGAACTCTGCAGGACCCTGGATCTGTCGAAAGTGTTTGGCCTGCAACGTCTGTGCCAGCGTGTGGCATGTCTGCCCCTCAGCTGTGCCTTGGCCTATCATGTCCTGCAGTTCTTCGATTGTGTGCCCGCCAACAGCAGTGATTACATCAACCTGGCCCTGGAGCTGATTGTCCAGCAAATTGACTCGGCAAAGGGCAACAATCAGGGTGGGTTTTGGCAGCTAAAAGGGTGTCTGGCTTTTGCTCATATTTCATCTCCTTTTCCCTTTGGCAGACTCTCCATCTTCGCTGCAATTGATCAACGAGAGTGATCCCTTGAGCTTCCCTCTGGCCTATGATCTGCTCACGTCTGCCTTGCTGCATGAACGCAGCCGTCGGAGGGATCTTGTGGAGCTCATACAGTACATTCGTGTGGCTGTCATTCACTATCCTTTGGATGCCATCACAACGCACTACAATGGCAAGGAGCAGGCGATCAATGAGAAAATTTGCCGCGCCCTGGATGGCACGCCAATGGCTTTGGGCGAGACAACGCTTAATTTTACGAGTGCCCTGAATGGTTCGTTTGATGTGAAACCACTGCCGCAGCAGCTGCAGCAAACTACATCGAAGAAACGCTACTCGGTGTCCATGTTCGATGAGGTGGAAGTGCAGCCAGCACAGCAGCCGCAACAGAAGGTATTCTTGATATTTTGCTGATCCTTTTAACCACAGAAATTCCCTCTTTTGTGCAGCGAAACATCAGTGGTCGCCTGCCCATTGTCAAGTTCTTGGCCCGCACGCTGCTGGTGATGATTACTGAGGCAGAGCCCACGAATTCAATGCTGCTGCAAGTGCGCCAATCGCTGGCGGAGAATGTCAAGGCAGACATCGATGGTGCACGCGCTGATTTCTTTTTGTCGCTGGAGTATCTGACCAAGGCCAAGGAGCACGATGTGTGGTATGTGATGTCGCAGTATCTGCTGGAGTATCAAAAGCAAAACTGCAAAAAGAAGCGAATCATCAATGAGGGCTTCATTTCGCTGCAACTGAGGCGCATCTTCCGGAATGCCATGAACAACAAGGATGCTAATTTCATAGAGCTATTCAGCATGCTGGTGGCCGATGCTGAGGCCGTGGCACAGCTCGATAAGCTCTCCACGGAGGTGAAAACCGATCTGCAGAAGATTAACTTCCTGACGCTCTCGGCCATGTACAGCGAACACATTGAGGACATGGACAATGTGCAAATAATACGTGCCAAGTGGGTTAATTCTATTCTTCATTTAGTTGATTATTCATGAATGTTGTTTCAGGCGCCTCAAGCTCTATTATTATCTGGAATTCTGCCAGCAGGATCCACGCATC